GCCTCCCGAGGTTTGTCCGCACAATACCAGGATGCAGAACGTTGACAGTCACATTTGTTCCTTCTAAGCGGCGGGCTAGTTCTCTGGTGAAAAGAATGTTGGCCAGTTTGCTTCGACTATAGCAGAAGCTTTTATTATAGCTCTGTTCACTGTTCAAGTCTTCAAAGTTGATGTCTCCGTATTTATAAAGTTTGGAAGAAACGACAACAATCCTGCTGGGAGCTGAACTTTTGAGGAGTCCAAGCAGAAGATTGGTGAGTAGGAAGTGGCCCAGATGGTTCACTCCAAACTGCATCTCAAACCCATCTTCCGTCTTCATATATGGGCACTGGAAGATCCCTGCGTTATTGATCAGGACGTCTAGCCTGGGCTCCTCCTTTAAAACCAGGGAGAGAATGCAGAATTATGAATACACATTTTCCATAGCTCTTTTCATTCATGTATGTTTTTCTAACAATAAACAGAATTTGTGACTATAAATAATCTCAAGTTTTAGCCCATGTATCCAGTAATTATTTGAAGCAGTGTCAATTTAAGGTTTTTTACAACTTAAGGATTATGAATATGTATACTCTTACAATTCACTCAGATGTTGATTATATAATTATCAAGATCTTTCTTAGAACAGAAATACGGCAAATTTGGGGATGGGGGACTCCTAGGATCCTATGTTTTCCCTCAATTTCAGTTGAACTAGAAAAATACCAATTTTGGCATTATCATATTAAATTTATAATGTGTCCCTGTGGTAAACTTAAAAAAGGCTTGCAAAACATGAAAAAAATACTTTTAAAGCAATGATGCATGATTAGGAGGGGCCTGCTTGATCCCTTTCTCAAATAACCTTATCTACTCCTAATGTTCTAAGTTCAGGGCAGACCCACCAAGCTCCTAAGAGGCAAGTCAGAATCAGGCTGAAGATGAAATCTTTTGACTCCAAAGCCCATTCTCACAATTAGTAACCTAGCCTGGTCTTCTAACTGGGCTGTTTAAAACAGAGCTTGAGTTACGGTGAGCAAAGCAGACCATATCCAGCAAAGGGCTGGTATTGTGGCTCCCACCTTACAGGTAACACCATCAATGGTAAATTAAGATGCTTTACTCTGCAGTCCTATTACGTGTAAAATGTCACCACTGGGACAGAATAGCTTGAGGGCACTTCCCCAGAATTAGGACAAAGAAAAGTCAGAGATGTCAACTTTTGACTAGAGTGAATACTGTTAATAAATCAAGAAAGAAAAGTTAGTAAAATCACTGAGTGGGTAACATAAAAATATTAGTAACAACACAGTGACTGTTACAGGAGTCTCTCAATTGTACAAGAGAAAAAAGAAAGAGCATCAATAGGCACCATTAACCTTCACGGTGATTTCAGAACTTGGCTCATTCTTCTCTGTTTGAAATATCTTGCAAGCATCATATACCTCCACATCTTCCCCAATTAAAGTCCTAAATTGTACTGTTCTCATAGGGAGCTTTTTCATTCCTGACATCATTTAAGTTGGTTTTCACTGGCTCTTTTCTAGCTCCTCTGTCTCTTCTGATGACAGAGGAAAAGAAATACACAATATGTTCCAGGTGTAAAGACACAGCGATGACCCATGATTAAATTAATTTCAGGTCAAATTTCAACTCTCTCTCTCTTTTATTTTTTTGCCAAGTGCAAGTGAAAGAAAAATGTGTTACATTTCACAACTGTTATCAAAGGCTACCTGTGGGGTTAACTGTTTCTCCTGCTGGCTGGCGGAAAAACTTGCATGTTTTCCACCAGCCAACTTCAAAAGGAGGATGTGAGTTCACAGATACGGGGAAGGAAGGAGTGTCATCTTCACTAATCTTCTGGAAAGGTTTCCAGAATCAATCATTTCTGAACTATCATTCTTTGCAGGCGTTTGTGTTAAGACTTTATCATTTACTTTTTCTTTTTCTTTTTTTTAATTCTAAGGAGATAAACGGCATAAATTCCAGGAATACCAAACAGTAGAATGTCAAAACCTATTTCTTTTACCTTCTAATTATAATCACTGAATTTCAGAGCCAAGCAAGGTTGTAAGTACTTAGGATAACACAATTTAGTTATTTCTTTGTGCTCTGACTGAAGCAGCGATGGTATCAGGAGGAGCAGGCTCCACCCTATTCACACGTCAGTGAGACAGGATGACCTGCTCTCTAGGCTTGCAAAACCTCTCAAAGACTACTATTGCTACTTGATCAGCTACATGCAAATGACATGCTAGTAACAACAGTTTCCTTGATCTGCACCAGCTCCTAATATGCAACACGATGCCCCAGAACACAAGAGCTTGCCGTGCAAGAGCTGAAGTTGTGAGGGAAACAGCGAGACTATCCACTCATTATCTCAAAAACTACCTCCAAGTGGTTCAATATGGGCTTTGTTCTCATGGTTCCTTTGTACAACCGTGCTTTGAGCAGTTATTAGCTATGAGCTAGGGTCTTAAAAGCAAGTGCAAAAGCTAAAAGGAATCTCTGTAGAACAAGAATGAGAGCCAGGCGATGGTGGCACACGCCTTTTAATCTCAGCACTGGGGAGGCAGACGCAGGTGGATTTCTGTGAGTTCGAGGCCAGCCTGGGCTACAGAGTGAGTTCCAGGAAAGGCACAAAGCTACACAGAGAAACCTTGTCTCAAAAAAACCAAACAACAACAACAAAAAAGGAACAAGAATGAGAGTGGCTGTGTGCAATATGACTTGGAGATTGGAAATTACCACAGAGACCAACAGGCACACTTCCACTAATAATTATGGCTACCTAAGAGTTAAATAAGATACTTCTTTTTGAATGATGTCTATCACTGGACAGTTATGGAACTGTTAGGACACTCAGGCTTAGATGTAACTGCTAACAAATGAACTTGCAGATATTTCTTTTGATCGAAGTACACCACGGGGGTGGGGAGTGGGGAAGTCACTTAGAACTTCAGCTTTAGATTCAAGAGATTCCAACTGAGACAAGCAGTCTTCCTGTACCTAGCTGGCTTTAGATCTACCTCTGGCAAGTCACCTCGGCCAATCTTTCTACTTCAGTGGAGCATGTACCACCCACCCCTCAGCCATTAAGCACCAGGAATACAGGAGATTAAAGCAAAGTCTTGAAGACAGACATGTTACTGAACCTTCCTATGCTTCAGTTCCCTAATATGGAGATATTAATGCTTGCTTTACAAGAGCTACAGTCAGGATCTGACAACAGCCAATGAACTTTTTCCACCACTGAAGAAGATGCTTGGCACATCTCCTGGCATACATCGAACCTTCCATAAAGTCAGGCATGTGATTTTTATTCTTGTCCCTCTTTGGGCTATTAATGGGATTCCAAATTCCATTCTCTTTAGACATGGGGTAGAATCGAGTTGGGGATGATGCAAAGGTGTCAATCAGCAAGTGACACCCCCTCCTACTTCAGCAGGACAAAACAAAAACAAAACCAGGAAACGGAAATAAGAAAAACAGAAAAGAAAGTTTAACGACGGGCCTAATCAAAGTTCTTGGCTGGCTTTTCTCTAGCAGTGCTCTCAGGCCTTGTGACAGCAAGTTAAGATCTGGCACACATTTCACTTCGGACCCAGGGGAAACAGTTCAAAGATCAGGTGGTGATGATGCCTGGACTTGTCCTCGCCTAACAAAATGAAATGTCCAGGCACTGGCTTAGTTATTCACTTCTTCTGGGGGGACCTCCCAGGAATTCCTTCTGGGACCTGCCCCTCCTCCCAGCAGGGTCCCCGGCAGGCAGGCAGGCAGGCGTCTGAGTCCTGACCATGCTCAAGGTCACACCAGGCCTCAGGGGCCCCTCCCCCGCGGGTGGCTGGGCTCCATTAGACCCACACCTGCAGCAGTTCTTGGCAGAAGGCTCGCACTGAACGTAGAGAGGCAAGGTCCAGCTCCTTGACGACCAGCTGGCCTTCGGTGGTGGCGTCGGGCTCTGGACCCGCAGCCTGGCCGAGCTCCTGGCGGAGCTGACCCGCCGCCTCCTCCGCTCTCGCGCGGTCCCGACACCCCATGATGACCCGCGCCCCGAGGCGCAGCAGCTCGGCGGCTGTGGCCCGGCCCAGGCCGCTGTTTGCCCCGGTGATCAGCACCGTCTTCCCGTGCATGAGGCTCCGGTCCCCGCCTCCCTGCAGCCGCTGGCCTCTGGGCCCCGAGAACCGCCGCGCCGCCAGCCACAGCGCCCCACCCAGTGCGGCCAGCAGCGCTGCGGCCACAGTAGCCACTGCCATAGCCTTCCGGGCCGGGTGCACGGGGCCTAGGGCACAGGTTCCGGAGACCCAGGGGCCACTGCGCGCGAAGGACTCTGGGGCGCCGCCTGCTGTCCGGGGCTAGTGCGCGCGGGGCTTGCTGGGATGTGTAGTTTCCTTCCTGACGGCAACTTGAAGTAGAGTTCATCACAGAAACCACCCTGTGGAAACCACCGGTGGATTTATATATAAAGAAGTGGACCGTGTTAAAATTGGTGTACGCCTGTGGACAAAGGGACATTTCTTATTTTGATTTTGTTAAAAGGTTCGCCACACGGAACTAACAAAGGACGCAGCCCTATTTCCAATAGTGTTTATTCTACCTTGCCTGTTCCAGGTGATAATTCATTCGGCCTGCTAACGTTAAAAAAATGAGCAATGTTTTTTTTTTTTTGGAAATTAACTAAGCTTCTTGTGAGATAACTTAAATATGCAAGTTCTAAACTTATCTTAAAGAGCCACTGTTATGACTTACACATATAGGTGCGATGAGATTCAACGTCCTTAGCTTACAGAAAAGTAGCTTGACCGTAGCAGCTTGACAGTTCAAAATGTTTTACAGCATCAAAAAAGAAAGAAATTTCGAGAGGAAGGAAGGAAGGAAGGAAGGAAGGAAGGAAGGAAGGAAGGAAGGAAGGAAGGGAGAAAGGAAGAAAGAAAAGGAAAGAAGGAAGGAAGGAAGGAAGGAAGAAAGAAAGAAAGAAGGAAAGAAAGAAAGAAAGGGAAAGGAAAGAAAGGAAGGAAAAAGTAACACCAACGGGGCTAAGTTCTGTGGTCCAATCTTTGGAAATACCCAGTTACTCTCGACATCCAAAACACATGCCATTTGTAATACCAGACTGTCACCGTTTATTTCTCCTCCCCATCCCTAGTTGCGTTTTTGAGCTATGCCATAAGGTACATGGGCTGTGATGGTGCCGAATTTCTGTGCTGATTCGATGTGGAACATCTGGTCATCAAAGAAGATGTGGGGCCGAATCTTCACCAAGATAGGACCTTTGGGGGCTCCAGCTAGGAAAAGAGCTTCATCTATCTCTAGACCCCAGCGGCGAAGGGTCTTCAGCACACGGGCGCCTGAACTCGCCGCGCTCCGGGCTGTAACCAAGTAGGTCCTGATGGGACAAAGTAACCGTTCGTCTTTGGCATAGAATTTCTTCTGCAGTTTCCCTAAATCTTCCAGAAAGCTTTTAAGAGGACCCTGGAAAAAAGAACATATGTCTCAGCTGGGAATGGGTGAGCAAAAAGAAGTGATTACTGACAAAACAGGCTCTTATATGACCTTACAAAGCACACAGTGCTACCTGTCATACCACGATTCTGAGCTGACAGCATGGTGCCAAACTCTCTGCATTTATGTGGAGGTTTTGTCTGATACACAACCATCCCTTTGCATGCCTGGAATAAGTCTCGGATAACCACATCATTTATCATCCAAATGAAGCTATTTTATGTGTGAAAAAAATGTTCTATAAATAAGTCGGGACAATATTCATAACTATCCATGCTACCTGGGTGAGATGAACTTCAGCTGATCACCAAAACCACATCCCCCCCCCCCCCCGCAATTTTTGTTAGCTGCGTTTTTTACCTTTGAAACTACTGTCACTTTGTTTAGCTAGGTATTTGTTTGGCTTGAGTCCAGCCCTGTCTTAAAGGTATATATATATATATATATATATATATATATATATATATATATATATACACATATATATATGTATATATATATATCTTTACATCTTTATAGTTTCTACATTAAGACATAATGTTTGCTTCTTTTTCTACATTACTCTAGTCTCTACCATTGTTTTACGTTTAAATACATGAGTAAACATATTTTATGTTTGTGGAAATAATCTTTGAGAATTTAGTATATTATCAACCATTCTGCTTGCTGTCCTCTCTTCCTGAGTGAGGTTTTACCTGGATATAGATTCTGTGATTTATATTTTCTCTGCATAAGATGGAACTTGGGTCATTGGGCTTGGTGGCAAGCACCCTTATACTCTAAGACACCTCATTGACTCATTTTACAAACGTGTGTGTGTGTGTGTGTGTGTGTGTGTGTGTGTGTGTGTGTTTGTGTGTTTGTGTATAGTGTGTGTGTGCATGTATGCATGTATGTAAATATAGTTCACTTATGGAGGCCAGAAGACAGCTTGCCAGATTTGCTTTTTTTCCATCATGTGGGTCTGAGGCATTGAATTCAGGTCTTCAGACTTGCAAACAGGCATCTTTACCAGATGAGCCATCTTGCCAGTTATATGCTGGTTACCTTTGGAATCTGTCTAAGATTTGGAAAGTTATATAAACTATGTCTCCTTTCCTAATAATAAATACCTGGATATTTGGAACAACCATAACTGTTCTTCTGCATGTCATGCAGCTAAACCAGAGGCTAGCCAACTATGCTGGAGTCAAGGAGAAAAGGGCATCTTCCCGGGAAAGATGGTGTGCAAGAACTCACATATCTCCAGAGAAAAGAAGAGGGAAATACCAGACACTGTACAAGTAAGTGTGAACATTTCAGAACATTTAAAACAATGATAAAGGACAACCCTGTGCTCTGCTAACCAAGCAGTGCTCTCTTGGGTTTATCTCTGTGGACTTCACTCCATGTGCATGAGAAACACCGCGGGCAGGGAAGAAGACGGAAAAAGACGTAACAGTTGGAACAAGAGTTGGGGAGGAAAGCCCTGCATTTGGGAAAAGAGTGAATCTTTACTGAGCCCTTTGGACCTGGAGGGAAGAGGGCTTAAGCTGATAGAAGGGCTTTAGGCAGGCACTCTTCAGGCATATGTAAAGATCCACTCTCACTGGATGAATGAAAAGCTGTCTGCTCTTAGAGCTGATGTAAGAAGACACCTGAACCCAGACTACTAGCCATCTTCTGTCACTGGGATTCGGGAAAAGTAGCACCATCTTCAAATTACAGGGGCCCAAAGCCAGGAGAGAGGGAAAGAACCACGGACAGGTGAGTGTGGAGATTTTTCTGCACAGACTTTCAGAGAAGGCCTGAAGGTTAGAGCTGCGAAAGACCATGGGCAAACCATTCTACAGCCTTAGCACCAATGAGAAGAATTTGAAGTCCCTGACAGTCTGAAGAAAGCCACAGCAATAACAAGAACTAAAACTGGTTCAACACTTGATTACCTTGATCCAGTCTATCACAATAGTTAGTGGAAGAGGAGGAGTGCCAATTAGCAGATTGATACAGCTTTTAGCAAAGCCTCCATGTGTAGCTAGTGTAATTGATCATTATATATATGTATATATATGCATATATGTGTATATATATGCATATATGTGTATATATATATATATATATATGTGGGAACATAATAAAACAGGGAAATCTATGTTCAAGGGGAATTTAAAGAACTTAGACCTCATGATAACACAAATATTAAACATATAGTAGAATAATTGAAAAAGCTATTATTAGTCCCTTCAAAAGTCAAATGTCTACTTTAATGGTAGAAAACAAACATGAGTGCAATAGTAACTTTGGTAAAGAGGAATTGAATACAATGCTAGAATTAAAAATTACTGTTCAGAAATGAAGCATGCCTTCAGTTGATGACCAGCAGACTCTCTATGGCGAAGAAAAGAGGGTTGAACTTGAGGATAAGTTAAAATAGACTTAAATGTAGAGATTTTAAAATAATTTTTATTTTAATTATTTAATTAATTAATATTAATTAATTAATAATTATTTAATTTCAATACTTATTTTTAAATAATTAAAAAAAGAGCAACACATTGAAATGCTGTGGAACACACAGACGCACACAGAGGGCTGGGAGGGAGAGGAAGAGAGGTAGAAATGCATGCATGTACATATGTACACACACACACACACACATACATACACACACACACATACGTAAGCATGCGTGCACACACACATACACCCACGTACAGGGGGGCGGGTGGGAGAGGAAGAGATGCACAAATGCATGCCCAGACAAACAGACAGAGAAAGAGAGAGACAGAGGCATATGCCACACAGACATACACACACATACATGCACGCCCATACATACACACACGTAAGCTCACGTGCGTGCACGCACGCACACACACATACACCTACATAAAAGGGGGTAGGAGGGGGAAGAGCAATACAACTGCTCCAACAACAAGAAACAGAAAACCTTGATGAGTTAGTGAAAATAGACATAGTATATACAGAGGATCATAGTAGATATAAGACTCAAAACATTTGAGGTCAGAACCTATGCAGTGGAAGTGTGTCAGAAAACCATGGATGGGCATCCTGAAGTTGCTAAAGAAAAATAAAGGAAACACATGGTTCTATAACCAGTGAAAAATAAAATATATTTTCATTTTATTTTGTTGAGACATGGTCTCTCTCTGTAGGTTGCCCATCTTGGGACTCACTATGTAGACCAGGCTGCCCTCAGAACTCACAGAGATCTCTGCCTCCCCATTTATGGGATTAAAGGTGCATGCTGCTGTGCTTGGCTATAGTGTAATTATAAAGTGAGGAAGAAACAGAATTTCCAGGAAAAGCAAACAGTATTTATTGCCAGCATGTATGTTCTACTGACATGCTAAAAGAGAACCTGCAATTTTAAAAAGGAATATAAACATAAAAGACCATTTTTGTCTCATTCTTATGCTATGGGCTGCAGGAAAATATTATAGAACTCAGCTGATTATGGCAAAGCCACTACCTGAAGGGATCAAGGAATTATTTCAGAGGAAGCCTAATTCCAAGGAGCTTTTGGTGTTATTTAGCTTGTTATATATCAGCTGTCTTTCGTTAAGAAAATCATGTGTGCCTTCATAGTTTTCCCAATTGATTTTTACCTAAGACGTTCTAACAGTGTGGACTGATCACTCTCTGGATGTATACATTCCAGGTATTTGGAGAACAGCCTCAGGAAAGGCTTCATTCCTCCCAGCCCATCCGTTTCTCCCCTTTCAACACTGGAATCAGCCACTTTCAAGGACTAACAGAAATAACAGTCCAGACCACACCACATGCAAGTCTCCTGATTTAAGGTAAATCCCATAAGGAGACACTGCCCAGGTCAGGTGGACCTTAAGTAGTAGCTTTACACAATTTAGTTCAGACCCTCCTTTTGTACAGCCTAACTACTTCTTACCTAACTACTTTTCAGCATGTAGACTGAGCACATAGATCCCTTTCTCATATACTAACTGGTCATTAGCACTCAGTTGACCTCTTTTACCACTCTCATTTTGGATTGTAAAGGAAAGCCTGGTGGTCACTGCCTGAGGAAAATTCTTGTGACCCCGTAGAATTCAAGCCTGGTGACCTTGCTTGGCCAGAGAATTGCTATTGTTTGGGTTTATAACTGGATTCCAGAGAGACTTAGGGGAGAACTTAGAAGTATAAGGAGATGGAGAGGAAGAGAGGTATGGAGAACTTAGAGATGGGGAACGGAGAGGGATAAGGAGGATTTTGACCAGAGAGAACATGTGGACGAGATGGAAGATGAGGACGAGTCAGATGGGGAAGTACTAGCTAGGTAAGAACAAGATGAAAAGGACCTAGATGAGGCAGAATTAAGGCGAGAGAATTAAGATAGAACGTAGAGGGAGCAGTAGATAAATATAGAGAGAAATCAGGCAAGACAGGAGCTAGGCACGAGAGCAGAACTGAAGCTGTGTATAAAGGATGTTATCCCAGAGGAATTAAAGCAAGTGGACTGTAGAGCTCGGTGTGCTGAGACTCTATTTCCCCAAAATAGTCCTCGTCATTTGTAGTTTTCTCTCCTGAGCCCCTGGGATGTATAATATTAAGGCTGGTCCCTCAAATATCATACAAGATTCTTACTCACATTTTTTCTTTTTTTCTCTCCTTTTTTTCTTACTCACTTTTAGTCATTGCCAAAGGCAAAAAGAACATCAAGTTATTGTGAGTTAATAGCATAGAATATAAAGGAAAGATATGTCAACACAACACAGAATAAGTTTGGAGGAGTTTGGGAGTGATCTGTGGCAAGGTTCATATATTACAGACAAGGTAAATAGGATTGTGTGACCATATATCAAGGTTACTTGAAGTTGTGTGTTACAAGATTTAGCATAAACACAGGGAGAAAACCTTCAGTTAGTTCTAAGCAATACAAATAAAGATGAATCTGAAACACAATGACTAAACTGGAGACAAAGATTAAAAGACTATATAGAGGAAAGTAGGAAGACATTAGATTTTACCACAACAGGTATTATTGATCCCATTATACTTAAATGATTTCAAGCACACAGAACACACTCAGGTGACAAACAGAAAACATAACAAAGTACAACCCAAAATATGTTTTCTGGCTACGGTATAGTAAGTAAAGCTTGTACATAGTAACAGATATGTGGAAAAACCTCTTCAAATATTTGGCAGTTAGGTAACCTAATTGTAAACAACCCACCCCACAGAGTGGATGTCACAAAGAAATTAGAACAATTTAAAAAAATAATTTTTAGTTGTCTAAAAAATAACTCCAACAGATCTATCTATCTATCTATCTATCTATCTATCTATCTATCTATCTATCTATCTATCTATCTAGTATGGACTGATTGAAGACAAAAGTACTGAAAGGTATACAACAATACAGTAGTATTCTAAAAATCAGGAATATATGAATATCAGACTCAGGATGGCATTGCATGGGAAAGAGGAGTTGGTGAATATGATCAAGAATATATACAATGATCCTCAATATGTGGGATTTAAAATACATTATACAACACTGATTAAAACTGCCAGGTGTGGTAGAACACACCTGTCATCCCAGCACCTGAGGAACTGAGACAGGAGGGCAGTGAGCTCAAGGAAAGCCTTGGTTACATAGCTAGATCCTGTCTCAATCAATCAGTAAGCCCCCAGTTATATTAGGATGCTTCCATACTGTCTTCTTTTTGTGAATACAACAAACAGAAAGAATTAACCATCTAAAACCATGTGCAGGTACTAGAGTGGGGCTGGTAGTAAAGTGCTTGCCAGCAGGAGGACCCAAATTTGGAACTCTGGCACCCACATAAAAAGCCAGGTGCAGCAGCGGAGGATTGTTATTGCAGCCCTAGGGAGGCAGAGACAGGTGGATGCCCAGAGCTTGCTGTCCAGCTCTCATCGAGAATTCAAAACACAAGAAGGAGAGTGATAGGGGGAATCTACTGACATCCATCTCTTGGTTCTGTATGTTCACACACACACACACACACACACACACACACACACACACACACACACACACAATACATATTAAAAAGCCTTTAAAAATGTTCAGACCTAGCTAGCTTTGTCTACAAAGGCTTACCAGACATTTGCTTAGCTTTTCATGCATTTTATGAAATCATTTTTTCTCAAGTGAGATATAAGTAAACTATAGACTACTTGCTTCGTAAATATGAAGGCAGAGAATTTCTCAATTCTATATCCTGGATCCAGGATTATATAAAAAGGACACAATATATGGCCATCTCAAGTGTACCCCCAGTGAAGAACTGCCTCAACAAGTTAAAATTCTTCAGTTACTTTACATGTCAATGACTTCCCAAGCCACTTGATTTTTCTCAGTGAATGGTACAAGGGGATTAATCAAAATCCAACATTCATTCTACAAACCCTCAAAAGTGCATAGTGAGTAAGTAGCTCCTCAACTTGACAAAGGATACCTGCAAAGATCCTGTAGACACATTACATAAGACTGTAAGATTGAAAATCCTTTGAAGGACAGGGATTGAGGTCAGGCAGTCCATGCTCATGGCTGTTACTGAACATTAAATTGAGCAGATTCAGTGTAAAAGGATCATCTGTTGCTAGAGTTTTCCTGCCTGGCCCACAGTCAGGACAAATCTCTCTCACCCGCCAGTCCCACAACCGTTCAGACCCGACCAAGTAAACACAGAGACTTATATTGGTTACAAACTGTATGGCCGTGGCAGGCTTCTTGCTAACTGTTCTTACAGCTTAAATTAATCCATTTCTATTAATCTATACCTTGCCACGTGGCTTGTGGCTTACCGGTACTTTACATCTTCCTTATCCTGATGGCGGCTGGCAGTGTCTCCCCCTCCAGCTTCCTGTTCTCTCAATTTTCCTCTCTGTTAGTCCCGCCTATACTTCCTGCCTGGCCACTGCCAATCAGTGATTTATTCATTGACCAATCAGCAACACATTTGACATACAGAACATCCCACAGCAATCATCCATCAGTTCAGATTCCATTTGGATACCATTTTCATGCTTCCAATTTTCTTCTGTTCAGATGTCCATTTCCGATCTTAACCTTTAATACTTCATGAAATAGATTAAAAAAAAAAAATCCAAACCAAAACCCAAACCCCCAAATACTTGTTTTGGGCTTGTAAGAGGTGTTTCAGGCTAATTATTTATTTGGATCCAAGCTTTTAGTCTTGAGGCTCTTCTCAATTAAACAGCATCTTTCTTGAATTTGGGGTCACAGACTGACAGCCCCAGAAAAGGTTTACTGAGCACTATGTTGAAAATAACCTTACTGTTTTGAGGGCTGAAGATTTTGGAATGACTTCTTGGTAAGCTGTGCTATGTGTTTACAGGGACTTGAGGGTTAACTCATCAGTAACAGACTGCAGAAGTGCTTCCGAAAGGATAAATAAAAGAATGTCCAATGTGAAAACCAGCGCTGGCAGCAGTACATGTTCCAGAGTAAGGAATTCACAAACAAAAGGGAGCAAAGTGCAGAGAGACTGGAGGGGGCCACCTAAAATTAATTAAAATTACATTACAAAGAACAATATCTATATTCACACGTTAGAAGATGAGCAGAGGAAAATGGAGCTTGGTAAACTTACCTGAGCAAGAGGTTTATTCTCAAATAGTGTTTCGTGTTGGAAAAATTTGTCCAGCCCATGGTCCTTGGCAATATGTTCAGACTCATCAGAGAAGAGAACAGCATCCCCATCAAAGGCCACACGGAGCTGCGTGTCACAATAAGCCATGTCTTTGGCTCCAGCAAACATGGTTGCAGAGGCAATGCCTGACATCACATGGAGAGATTAGTACTCTTCTGAAGCCTAAGGCTTTCAGTTTCTTCCAGTAAAAACTTCTCCCCCACAGTGATATTTCTTCTGTAGCTATTGCCACATAATTCTGCTCCTGTCCACAACTACAAATCTCAGAACAGATATCTATGTACTGATTCTGTTTATTCAGAATGGAAGGTAAACATGAGTTGTGGAATAATCACTGAAAATGTTCCCTTCCAGGAAGGTGAAACCCCTTATATACAGATATAAGGGGTGCCACATATGTAAAAACACCAGCAAAAGACTCAGTAAGACGATAAGCCACCTAAAACTGTGTGAAACCCAAGGCACCTGACCATCAGTGTAAACCTTATGAGCTAGAAGAATAAACCCAGGCCATTACCTTCTTTTATTGCTTCTTGTACTTTTTCAGAATCCGCAGAAAGATACAAGTTGGTAAGATATGCCTTTAAATAGCCAATGGGGCTTTTCCCGCCAGTCAGACAGAATCGGTCGATTAGCAGACCTAATGTCAAGTGAGAAAGGCAGTGTTATAGTTCAGACTAAAGATACAACACTGATCCAAATGACATTTACTGTAGAAATAAAAGCCTGTATTAGTAAATCTATTTGAGCTCATTTGCAAGTCTAACTGAATGTTATCTTCTTATAAATTACTGAAAAATTAAAAATGATTTTCACAGCTCTCAGATAATTCATACACTATGTTTGGTACACTATAGTCTATGGAACATACTCACACAGACCATGTCAGTTTACTCAAAACTGCATGGCAGATATTATTCTCCTTATAGAAAAGGATACGGAATTAAAATCCAGTCCACTGGTTCACAGACATAGGGCAGACTTCAGTCCACATGTTTAACTCATATGTGCACTAGGATATCTCTCTTTCCTTAAACTATAGCCTCTTCCTTGCTTCCTCTATATTTCTTTAATAAAATGCTAGTAATAAGTCACTCTAGGACTTAAACTATTTTCTAAAGATAATCGGAAAATTTCACTCCTTCTTGACTAGAATATTTGATTACAGCTATTAGCAGACTTGACATTAATAGTCTCTGGATTTTCTTTCCTCTTTTTCAGTAATGGGGCTTATACCCAGAGCATCACAGATGTGAGGCAAGCACTGTACCAATGAACTACCACATCCATTTAATTTCTCAAAATTATTAAGTCAGATACAGCTAAGTTGCCCATATTGGTTTTCAACTTGCTGTGTTGCTGTGCAGCTCAGGTAGGTCTTGAACTCAAGGCAATCCTCTAGCCTCTTGCTGTAGTCTTCTGAAAAGTTGGCATTCTAAGCCTATTGCCTCAACGTCCAATTAATATACTCTTAAGTACCTTCCAACAATTATAAGAAAAAATTGACTGTTCAAAAGATTTTTGTAAAGCCAGCACCCACATTTGCAGTAAATGAAAGGATAGATGGCATAAGTCGTCTAGAAAGAGATTCCTTTATTGAAGATACTATTTTAAGGAAATAATACACAATTTTAGTAAACATTTATGTGGAAAAGTCTGAATTTAGGGTTATATTTGAAAGGAAATGTATTCATCAGTGTGAGACTATCATTGCATAGTATAAAATTCTATGTGCTTTATTCAAAGTTGGCTTTAAATTTATGATAAACTGGGTAACTATGCTATCTAAATAAAAGCAAAAACCTGGGGTCTAGTCAGCTATTTGAAGGACCAAAGACACACACAGGTCAGCAATGTGGGTAGAAGCATCTGCTTTGGTGTTAACAAAATATTACCGAATTTTCCTTTGATCCGATGTTGGGCATACGTGACTCAAAAGTAGATCTTATAAACCCTTAAGTAACAACACAATGTTCTGGAAAATATGTGCTGGTACTAGGACTTACAAAATGAGTGAAAACATTGGCTTTGTTTTTTCTCCTCAAAGGAATCCCAGTTTACTGTGGAGTCAGGCAAGTAAATTGTAACAAAGACCACAGTAGAGATAGACACGGGTTGTCCTCTGTACCCTAAAGAGGGAACTAACTCTTCCAAGGTAAAGACTGTAATTCCAAGGAAATGGCAAGATGGAAAGGTGTACTGACTGGTTTATCAACAGAATTCATATATAAGAAACTGGAAACCTTGGCGTTTTTAACATCCTGAAGGACAGAAAGACCAGTATCACTTACTTAATCAGTAAGACTGGGTATGATGGTATGCACCTATAATCCCAGTACTGGGAAACTGAGGTTAAGATGATCTAGAGGTAGCCTGGGCTATATAGCAAGGACGTATGTGAAAGCAAACAAAAAGCATAGAAATATTCTTCATTCATTGAATGAATATTATATGCCCCTCAGAGCCTTTGACACACACACTTCCTCTTTTAAATTCACAACATTATGAAGGTTGCATTATTAAAATACTTTTCAGATGCCAATTTTATAATTAGGATCATATGAAATAACAAAATAAAACTCAATAGCTTGTAATACACCTTGGTTAATGTCTGATTTAAACCTAGGATCTCAATGTGCACAAGTTAAACCTGGTTTTAGGTGACATACCCACAACTAGATCCATTCCTAGAACACCTAGACAATGGTGTCCCAAAGAGAATGTTAGGTAATTTCATAATAGAGCAATCATGGGAAACTTTACAAGAAAGTGACACATCAATCAGAATGTTTGGAAGACTAGCACCAATGAAAATTTTCCATGTAAAGTAATAAAGACAATTTTGCTGGTAAGAATATGGATTTGAATGTGGGAGAGAGAGGGCAGCCAGAAGCATCCAATTTTAAGAGTTGGAAGGCGAGGTGAAAACCTTTAAACCCTTAAACCCTTAACATGGATCTGTGGTGAGGAAGAAGTTTGATCCCGTAGAAAAAGTCTCTGGGCTGACGACTCCTTGAAGTCAAGTTCAGAAGTGAAAAACATAAAGCAGAGAAATATATTGAGGACCTGGGATTAAGACTTTGAAATTCACACTTGACAAGTTAAGTCCAGAGCTTTGAGCCCAACTCTGTGCTGAAGTTAAAAATGAGCATGGCCTTTTTTGTTCTGACATAGGCAAATAAACATTCCCCACGCAGAAGGGGTTGTCGGTATCAAAGACACTGCCGTGGTTTAAGCCCCAGTTAGCAAAATAGCATGGCCTCTTTTTTGCAGAGCTCTGAGCTGGTCTTCCACATGGTATTTATTTTACTTACCATAGTGATTGACGCTGTTTATAAGCCGTACTCCCACTTGGGCATGGTTATTAGTCATCAGTACTATATCAAATAAGTCTTGTTCTTCAGGATACAGATCACGGAGTCTAGCGTTGACATGCTGCAGCGCCTGCAGGTTACAAACATAGGTGTATAAAAAGGGCAGGCAAGGTGGGTCTTAGGCAGCAGGCAGAAAAAAAAAAAAAAAACCCACCTCGGCAGGGTCAGAATCAAGTTTCACGGAGTCCTGGCTGAGAAATCAGTGCTCCTTTAAGACATGGTTATGTTACCATTCCTGCATTTTATAACTCCTACACATAGGCTTCAGTTAATGCCCAGGGCACAGATGAGTAATGCCCATGGGATGTTATTACAGCATTCTGTTTACTACAATTATCTCATGGGTAGGTAGAGAAAAATATCAGGGTATCCCTTTTATGACTTGCCTTCTGGTTTGTCTATCTGTGTAAGTTTGTAAATTCTGATTTTATTGTGAGAAATTTTGGAATGGTTTGGGAGTTTACATGTTACTCATGTGCAGGAAACAGACAGAGGCAGATTGATAATCTCCGTGGTTTTGTTTTATTTTTGTATGTGCTATGGAAGGGAGATGGTAGGCCGTGATTTATTTATTTTAATTTTAACATTTAACTTATTTTTAATTGTGTGCGCGTGTGTGCGTGCGTGCGTGCGTGCGTGCGTGCGTGCGTGTGTGTGTGTGTGTGTGTGTGTGTGTGTGTGTCAGATTTCTTGGAGCTGTAGTTACAGGTGGTTGTAACTCTCCCTATATGGAGATTGGGAACCAAAATCAGGTCCTCTTCAAGAACAGCCCCTTAATCCAGATTTTTAATTTTTAAAACATATGTTTTTCATAGGCCTGTGGTTTCTCCCCATGCTTCTACACGTCGTGCGAGCACCGTTTACCCCCAACCATAGAGGTGTCATTGGCTTTCCCATGGTTATGTGATTGATGGTGCAATAATCCTATAGCTTACAAAGGAGATTAGTTCTAAGTGCTACATGTTTTAATACACATTCACGATCTGAAGTGTCAGGAGCATCTTGATTTTCTTGATATATTTGGGGTCAGACCAGCTAAAGTGAATTCTGTCTTTTTTTTTTTTTTTTTTTTTTTTTTTGGTTTTTCAAGATAGGGTTTCTCTGTATAGCTTTGCGCCTTTCCTGGATCTCGCTCTGTAGACCAGGTTGGCCTCAAACTCACAGAGATCCGCCTGTCTCTGCCTCCCGAGTGCTGGGATTAAAGGCTTGCGCCACCACTGCCCGGCGAATTCTATCATTTTAATGAGGCATTTTATTTCCACTACTCAGGACCATTGTTTACTCCCTATTACTTCCTACTTCTACATGTATGGAGGAAACAGGCTTTTGTTAAAGGTCAGACAACTAGGACTCCATTTAAGAAAAGTCAAGATCTGAAACCATGGATGCAGGCTGAAACACAAAAAACAAATAAACAAACAACAACAACAAACACCTTTTCTCAACAATTCCAGAAGTCTTCGAGACTTGGTCACCTGGAATGGGGCAAGAATTATATAGGTGGTCCAGGGATTGTCAGGAAGACTGGACAAACTCCCAAAGGTCTCTCTGGGTCCTTCTCTTGCCATCCAGAGTCCCTGATGGGAATGCAAGGCAGTTCACACAGTACCTTGACAAATCGAAATGCTGGCCCTGGAGTCAGGATGACATTCTCGTTGGTGAGCTGATACTCCATGTACTTTTCTAGACCCTCTTCTTCGTAGATTTTCCTGTCGTCCACCATATTGAAGAGTGCCCGGGAAGAGACAGCAATTGTGATGGCGTGCTTGGGTTTGGGCTGTGGAGAAGGTCAAGGGAAAGAGAGTCAATACACATACAGAAGGGAGTGGGGAAGGGAAATGCAGCTGGGAAGGGAAAGAGGACCGAGGTCGGAAGGACTTCCCTAGGCCTTAAGTGGGAGGGAGTTGAGGGACAGGAAAAAGGGGGCCCAGGGCTGCCGGAGGCCTTGGTACTCTCACCGGCCTGGGTCGCGCACAGCTGGGGATCTTCTCGTACAGCATGCTCACAGATGCCCAGTAGGCCTCATCTATCTCATCTTCCTCTATCTGCTGTCGCCGCAGCTGTTGCTGCTGCTGCTGCTGCTGCTGGATTTCAGACAGACATTCCTGGTCCATGTCCACAGAGGTGCCATACTGTAGGCGACGCTGGACATAGGGCTTCCACTCAGTAGGAGAAGGGCGTGTATACTCTCGAGGAGTCTTGGGTATCAGCTCTCTGGAGTCACAACTGTGCGCGTAGTCCCGCAACTGCAAGTCTCTAGGCTCTCTGGTGTCCCTAAGAGCCCAGGGCTCACTGCCCCCATACATCTTCGAAGTCCGCTTGGAGCTGGGCTCATGTTCCGGGGGTGTGGGAGGTTGGGAGTCAAGCTGGGTGTTAGGTCTGGTCTGTGGTGTCTGCTGTAGGGAGGGCTTCTCTGAAGATGGAGGTGGAGGCGAGGTTTCATGATGGCTGGGGGAGGCAGAGGAAGTTCGAGAGGTCGCGGAGCTGTTGGGGGCCTGCTGAAGAAAAGGGGGTTGAAGTCCAGGCCCATGAGGATTCACATCCAGATCTCCAACATTGCATCTCCTAGCTCTAGCCTATTCCTAGACCTTGAAAGAATCCTAGTGCGTTCTAGCTCCGTTAACTAGGCCACCAAGCATCCATAAAGCAGCCAAGCAGACATTGGATCTTACTGTTTAAATAGACAGACTGCTCTGCTCTCATCCTCCGATTTCCCTACCTGCACCTCACGAATGCACACCACGGGCACTCCTTGAGTACCTGCTATTTGGTTTTGTGTAAATAGGCTGAAGCCCTTTTATCCTTACGTAGTATAAATCACAGACCCTGTCTCACTCCATGACTCCAGCCAGCTTTATGAACAAACTAAGTAAGACACTGGGACTAGAATCTTCTACTTCTCCTGCTCCTCTCTGGCTCTGCTCGGCCTGCGACTAGCATGTGATTGCTGGGAAGGCTGGGGAGTCACGTGCCTTCGGTTTTGGTATGCTATCTGGTAACAGCAGAACTATGTAAGAAGGGGCAATTCTAGAGAAAGAATACCTTTACTGACACAGCTTTGCAAAAAGTTGTTATCAACGTTCATATATTACCTCAATTTACGTTTGTTTCACATGTGGGGAAGGATATTCTTGGTGAGACTATTGAACCAAATTCAACAGAATATAGGTGTGTGTGTGTGTGTGTGTGTGTGTGTATATATATATATATATATATCTATATATATATATATGTATATGTATATATGTATATATGTATGTATGCATGTATCAGCCCAGGGGATCTATTATTTTCTATGTACCTGAAAAGAATCTTGTAGTTTTAGTTAAGGGCCTATATAGCACACAATGACATTTTATTTTTCCCTTTTGTTGATTTAATTTTTTTCGTCTCTTTCCTTTCTTGAGTGCTGTGTGTACTAAGTTGGTATTTGTTGTGTGGGTGAAGGACAGAGACCATACAGCTAGAGCTAAAGGCTGTGTTTAACACTGCTCTCTACTGCTTTGCAGTGTGAAAACCAGGGCAGATGACCCTGTGCTCTAGTTTTCCCAGTGGTAAATTTGTGTTTACCTGGATGTTTCTGGAAGAGCTAAATTAACTATAAACAAGTAACTTATCCAGAGCAGGGCCTGAGTACTTTGAAAAGTAAGTCCCAATAGATACGTCATTATTTATCGTCCACTCCTCTCTTTCATCCCTAGCTCTACCTTGACAACTGTATTCCTGCTTCTGGGCTCATCCACTGATGGAGCCCCGGTTGATGGGCTCCGTGATGTTCGGGACCACTGATTTCGCACAATGTACCCTCGAGAGTCTGTATTAGGCACAGGTAATTCTTGGGATCCCTGTGTAAGAGAAGAGACCCAAATATTTAATTCTTAACCACTCACTCCTTATAGGCATGTTCCCACAGAATAAGCTCGACAGGCTAAAATCAGCAGCAACAAATGGAAAGATGCAAACTCCCGTCCCCCATTTCTATGACCCTTGATTCACTCTAGGTCCTTCTAGGTCCTTGTATACTGTTCTTACTTTGGACTCGATCCTAACCTCAGTCTGAAGTAACAAAGTGAAGATTCCTCTAGAAGAGCATGAGCATCCAATAGTGAGAAACCCCTGTGGTAGCTGAGAGTTTGCCACCTGGGACTCTTCTCCCATGGCAAGTAACAGTTGATCATATTTTCTTCCCCACCTCCATCCTCCCTTAGAGCTCAAACTACTGATTAGTAAAGTAGTACTAATACTACTAATACTACAGATCAAGCTACTAATATGTAAATACATTACATCTTTGTGATTTTTACCATACTGTAAAGTAAGGGCATGCGGCAACCAAGCCACAGCTGCAGCAGGGCTCTGTGACCGCCACACACAAGTCCATACAACCTGCCAGCCTTTGTTTCATGGTGACACCTGGGAGAGGCAAGTGGGCTAGCTTCTGTCCCGTATCCTTCCCCTGCCCAAGGATGCCTCGGGCTCCCCTCCCAAATGAGTCATGAGATCTCTGCTCACCCTGATCATGGTGATCTGCCGGCCCTGTTCCCACAACAGGCACATGTGAATATAAATACGTATTGTGCGACAGGGGCTAGTTCCCTCAGCTGCACAAAGGCAGCGTCTACAGGAGTGGTGACACCGCATGGGGCAACATCTCAGCGAGTGATTCGGATAGCCTGCACGCCTCATCTGAAAGATTGTGCAGAAAATGGGTCAATGCGATGGCCAGACTTCCCTTCCCTCCCTGAACTGTGTGGACCAGTCTCCTCCTGTTGGCCTAGTGGAGGAGACTGGGATATAGCTACACTTCTCATTCTGCATGAACAAGGGGGGCTGTGGACTGGAGGGAGGGTAAGGGTCAGCTTCTCCTGAGTGTGTCTCTAACCTCTTCACTGGACCTTAGCTACCCCGCGGTATAGATCTGAAATGGCTCGCGGGTCTTCCTGAGCTTCTCACCTGCTTTCCTCCAGTGGGTTCTCTGCTCTTTCAGCTGTGCTATGGGGAGTAGCTCACCTGAGTGCTCAGTCGAGCTCCATTTTTGTCAGGATCTTTTCTTTTCTCTGCATCTAGACTCTCTTTTGAGTACCTCATCCCAGGCTCATTCTTAATATGGAAACAAAGAATGTTCATTAATGTTGGTTTCCAAACCCCGGGTTTGGAAATAAAAAGGGCACATAAAGCCTAAACTTCGTCTCTTTGCCAACATCAAAAATATATGTTGAACTTTAGACACAATTTCTTGCCCGTTCTGACAAGTATAAGAAAGGAACACATTTTATAAATAAAAATTACATGAGCATGTTGTTATATGACTCAGTCATTCCATAGACTCAGAATATGAGCAGTGTTTATCATTAAGAATGATAACATGAGAAATGTAATGAGAGTCTTCCAGGGGTCAACAGCTCTTGGATTTAAGTTTTAAGTTGCTTTGCATAATAGCTGTTTCTTCCCCTCTGATTTTCTTAAGACTGCTAATTATGGAACTTTTCATTTTCCATATAGAAACAGAAACTCATTTAACTGACCCTAACCAATATTAATTTGATTTTTACAAACAAGAACTTTAATCCTGTATGGATTTATTGGCAGAACATCTGTTCTTAATGTCAAAGTTTCTCAGCGTCTAGCTGAAAAAGGGGATTTCCTCTAAACAAACCCATAGGGCAAAATCGAGCACAGAGAGGATGACCATTTCTTCCTTGGAAACATAATGAAATATTGATGTTTTCATTTTTAATTGGCAAATACTTATCAGGACACTATTTGTATTGTTTCACGCTAATTCAGATGTGTTCTGTGACTAATATTGGTGTTAAATGTCTGTTTCTGGAGCTCCACACATAAGTTAGACCCAAGTCCTCCCAGAGACTTCTGTATTCATCCATTTACTCCCTGTGCCTGCCTAGGAGTGCCTTCCCCATGTTAGTTGAATGAGAATGTGACTATAAGGAATGGCTTAGCTGCATAATTATTGAACTGACTGAATTCTCTCCGCTAACTCCCATGCCCCTCTTCTAGTCTCAATAATATTCTGTCACTTCTAGCTCCCAAAGATATTTAAATCCAACTCTTCCTCATCTCTGTGCTGGCTCTCAGGTCACCGTTCTTGACTTCTAAAGCCTTCCCATTTCCAAATTTGTCTCTGTAATTAGATGTAAGCCTAATTAGTTTACCTCATTCCTGGGTCTACTCTATTTACTCAGGCGGACCAGAAGTCTCAGGATGGACCCCTGTTACCTACGGCTTCCATGCTCCCCACCTTCTTGCTACATTCCACTTACGCTAAATAGCTTTTCTCGTTGTCATTTCTGTGGAAACCATCTTTCTCTTCAGAGCTTAGCTCATCCCAGTCTGGGTCCAGAATTGAACATTCCTCTGTGTCTTTAATACAAATTTTGCTGAGCACTGAGCTGTACTGTTTATGTCTCTGTCCTACAAAGTCGTTGAACTTAACTTCTTCATATTAACTATGAGCATATGCTCAGCAAATGCTGACTTACTAGGGTGACCCACACACTACCACTCCACTCCCCTCTACACGTCACCGTGATCTAGACTTATTTGTTTTTTCAGAGCATTCCCAGAGAGAAAAGATGGACTAATGTTTACATGTCCTCGACTTCCTAGTAAGATTCTAGGGCACTTCACTCACTCACTTTCTTTTTCTGTTTCAAAGATGTTTGACTCATTTCTTCAACTGTTGGAATTCTTTTGTTGTTACGAAGGTTTTCATCTCCCCAGCCCCATTTCCTGTTACTTTTCTGGTTCAGTCTAGCTCTGAATTTAGAATGTCAAATTTATGACATCATGTGTGATTCCATGGTAACTAACTGATGCCACAAATATGTAATTATGCTTGTGTGCGTGTGTATCTGTGTGTGTGTATGTGTGTGTGTATAGAGCAATGGCCTTCTTTCCCATTTCAACATATCTACTTATAGCCATTCCCTTGAAACTCCAGGAGTTGATGTGTAAACTGCTCAAATGTCCATTACACAGCAATATCAATTTTACAACTTAATTATTTATAAGTCCTTAAAAGTCTTATTCTGACACTCATCCTATTAATTTTACTCAGATCTTCCATCTTCTGGTACTGTTGCAATAAATAACAAGTGCATTTGTGGGTTCAAAAAATTTTTTTTTTCTGCAGAACTGGAGACTTCTTGACAGCTGAGAATTTATTCTAGTTATGAAGTGTGGTTCTGAGTATTGCTTTAGTATGTGACATTGCTTTTATAATAGCAAAGACTCTTGAAGCTACTGTCAAAGATCCTTTCTATGGCTGGACAGAGTAGGATGTCACCTATACTACTGTGTCTATCTTTTCTTGTGTTAGCCCAATCCGTAGTCTTTGAAATAAATATTTTTCTCTATTGTGTAAACAGAGAGCACCATATCAAAGGCAGTTCTCAGACTCTGGTTTACAGAGCCGAAAAATATTCTATGTTTTTCTGTTCTGATTTTAATCTTCACACAAATGTAGGTAAGATTCATGTGTCCTGCCAACATGAGCTGTTGAAACCATCAAAGACAGAGACAGATTTCTGATCTTCATAGAAGCCACTGATTGTCAAGTTTGAATAGCAGATGTTTTCCAAATAATCTTTTAGTGAGTAAAGCATTCAGGTTTCAGATCTGATTTTTTTTTTTTTTTACACCACCACTCTCTACCATCATATCTTTCTGGGATCTCCAACGGATTGGTTACGTTTCATGATCTTAATTTTCTTAATTACAAAACGGAGAGGATAACTGAATAAATTTTAATCATTTATTGTTGAGGCTGACAAGGTGAATTGAGTGAGAAGTGCTTCCTGGTTAAACATGAAGACCTGTGTTTGGATCCTCGGCACTATTATAAGAAGTCATCTCTCCTGGGAGTACCTGGAACCATAGCACCAAGCAAGGCAAAGATAGATGCTTCCTAGGGGCTTGTGAGCCTCTCTAGATGAAATTCCCAGCTTCAGGTTCATTGAGAGACCCTGTTTCAAAACATAGCGAGGGGAAGTCATTGACAAAGACGTCCCAATGATGACCTTTGACCTCCACTTTCATCCTTATCAGTGAACACACACACATTTGTTGCAATTGTTGAGATATTGTAGAGTATGCAAAAACATTTATAAGTGAGTAATAAACATTAGCTATTCATTTTGCTCATAATTTTTGCTATAGTTCTATTACTGCACCTACATAGAAAAATTTAAATAATTTAGAAACTACTGATATCTAGTTGTAAGAACAGAATTTAAAGTATTCTTGTTGTTGATCTAGATTTATGAACGATCAAATGTCGTTCTTGTGGTATTCCTATCCCCTACATGGTAGCCTTAGTGGTACAAGCACAGTGAATTAGCCAGTTGACACAGGACAGGCTGTGGGAAAACTCTCACCTGCTCTCTACAGAATACAGTAGGTGTTGTGGATATATCGGTGATAGAGCATTTGACTGCAGAATAAAGATGTTACAGAGAAGAGAGCTGAAATCAGTCTTATTTCTTATTGGACTTTCTAAACCACACCTACCATCTTTGTCTCATTTTTCTATACTCCTCCAACTAACCTTGCAATTACATATTTCCAATATCACACAGCATATGAGAGAGTAGGATTCTTATTTCCCAAGACAGGGTTTCTCTGTGTAGCCTTGGCCATCCTGGAACTTGCTCTATAGACCAGACTGGCCTTGAACTCAGAGAGCCACCTGTCTTTGCCTCCTCAGTACTAGGATTAAAGGTGTGTGCCACCACTGCCTGGCTGAGAGTAGGATTCTAATAAGTACTTAAAATTATTGTATGAATTGAGATCTAAATATATAGCTATGTTGTTTGGTTTCAAACTCGGAAGGTGACATTAAACAGCCCTTTCATGCTTATTTTCAGATTTCTTTATTTATTTTCCTTTATTCTTGTCTACTTCGTAACTTCACTATTAAACATGGAAAAGCACACATATGTATAGGAGGTAAGTCATTTATTTGGCTAGGATTCTTCTCTCTAGGAGTTTGACCTTGCTCATAAAGGCAAATTGAAACATCATTATGGCATTTTTGTGTGGCCTTCGAAGACCACCTCTGACGGGTTTTAATGATTTAATTATCATTGCCAGTTCCAGTTGTATATAATTTTTAAAGGATATCCATAAAGGGATTGGGAAGGAATGTTAGAAAACCACGAAACATGGAGAGTTGTAAATCTGCATTCTTTATTTCCTTGGAGCAATACTTTTCAGTTCTTGCCATGGTTACAAAGATGTTCTACACATTGTGTTACCAGTGCTCTTATTAACAGGATGGTTCGGAAAGATTATTGGAACAGAGTTTCCACCTGGCCATGCCTCCTCTAGGTTTTATTTTTCTGGGACAATAGTGTCATCACTTGAAATTTTTGGAGATGTTAGTAGACTATTGGTTTGTCTGCAGCTTTTCAAATCTGATGCCTTCTCAAGTATGATAATGACTAATCTCTGGATAAAGTGCTTACAAAGGTGAGCAAGAAAAAGAAATAAAGCCAATGGTGGTAGAAGAGGCAGATACAGGAGGACCATGAGTCCGAGACCAGCCTGGACTACATATTTAGGGGCTAGAGAGATGAATCCGTGGTTAAAATCACTTCTTCTCTTCCAGAGGACCCAACTTTGATTCCCAGTGCCCATGAGAGACAGCTCACAACCACCTGTAACTCAAGATACAGGGAGATCTGATACCTCTGACCTCCTAGGTCATTTGTGTGTGCGCGCGCACACACACACACACACACACACACACACACACACACACACACACTCTTCAAATAATAAAATCAAATCTTCCATAAATAAATAAAAGCAGCAGTTGTCTTATTTCCCACCCTCTGCACTAGTGTCACTTCTTGAAGCATAAGACAGTGACTTCTCCTTTCCACTTGTACCACTACTGTTAGCAGAGGCCTCTGTACCTTTCTCATCACTGCTAAATGAATGACTTCCCTAGTAGATCAATGCATCCATGAGACAAACATTTAGTAAAGCGCCTGCTAGGAATTGCTCTGGAACATGAAATCACAACCATGAGAAAGATACACAAGGCGTTTCTCAAAAGCCACTTTCACTCCAGTGGGGACTGGAAATATGATCAACAAATAAAATCTTGTGAAACAGAGTCAGGTCAAACTAGTTGTTGTGAACAAAAATAAAACAGGTAAGAGTTATAGAGCTAATTGAAAGGAGGGTGCCAACTTTAATGACAAAGACCTCTGGGAGATGCCATGGGTGCAGAAAGTCAGCTGGAGTGAGCAGTTGAGCCATGCAGATGTATGAGGAACGTTAGCAGACAGAGCATTAAGTTTAACTGTCAGCCGGGCGGTGGTGGTGCACGCCTTTAGTCCCAGCACTGGGGAGGCAGAGCCAGGTGGATCTTTGTGAGTTCGAGGCCAGCCTGGTCTACAGAGCGAGATCCAGGGAAGGCGCAAAGCTACACAGAGAAACCCTGTCTCGAAAAAACAGAAACAAAAACAAACAAACAAACAAAAAAGTTTAACTGTCTTGACTTGAGACTACTCTTAGCTCATAGCAACGGTAAGATAAAGGGAATGCTGTAGGAGATGAGATGAGATGAGAGCTATCATACAAAGAACATTGACTTTGCTTATGTGTATTTGGAGAAATAGAGTTTTGAGTATGATCCAAGTCACAGCTTTAAGTCATCATTTGTGGTGTTGTCTCAGGGTAGGAAAGAATGGATGTGAGATTGCAGAGACCTACTGAGGCACCTATCCAAGTGAGAAATGATGAAATTGGTTCTCCGTAATATGCCAAGTTGAAGGAGCTCTACCTACCTGCTGGAATTACTAGCCATTGTGAGAATAGACTTCATGCTAAAGAAATTTTACTCTGGTTAAGCAAAGAAGCAAGGAAAACATTATTTGTACTGAAGAAACATTGGAGATGTCCCCCGAATTCAATAGTAGGAAATTCCTTATGTAAACGATTTTATTCAGTCTTTAATGTTATATAGTCATTAAAAGCTATGATTCCCAAAGCAAGTAACAATATGGAAGCTATACTTAGTATTATGCACAAAAAAATCAAAATATTGAATTTTGGATGCTATATAATTCTTGCAATACTTGACAGAAAAGATGTTAAACCAGATAAATGAATTCTAATAATTATATTAGTATAGGAAGTTCAAAGATTTTTATGGCTCTAATTATTTTATCTTATGATATTTACTCACTTACTTTCCTTGCTTCCTTAATTTTTAAAAAATTAAGTCATTTTTATGACAAGTTCATGCATGTTTCTAATGCATTCTGGTTACTCTTTCCACTTGTATCTCCACCTGTGCGTCTAAAGCTAACTTCTAAGGTCTCATCACCTCTAAGCCTGAGTTTCCCCATATCTCAAAGCACTTTAATGCAGCAGTGAAGGTTGATGACACTTTTTATGCGTTCTTGTATCTTTAGACTCAGTAAAACTAGTAGACTAGGGACATAAAAAATCTATTAAGGCAACAGAGCCACATCCCACAATATTTATTGCTACATATCTGAATAAAACAAGGTAGTTATGGTGAAAAAATGAGCCCTTGAGGTCTTCCCTGGACAGTAATTTTTAGTTGACTCAATCTTTGTCTAGGAGGTCAGAGGTATCAGATCTCCCTGTATCTTGAGTTACAGGTGGTTGTGAGCTGTCTCTCATGGGCACT